ATATGAAATACAAACATTTCTTATTGAAATAAATGTTCTTGTGCAAATTGCTGCGATTAATGATTCATAATCAAATTGACAATATGTGCATATATATATATATATATATATAGGCTGACTAGGAACCATGTGAATTTATTGTTGTGGCAAACTCATAATCAATTAACACCCAAGCAAATAGAAGCATAATTATACACAATAAGAGACAAGAATTTAACGTGGTTTAACACTTCACCAATGAGAGGAAAGCTTCACTAGTTGTAGAGAATTACAATCATATCAACACTAAACAAATAAATATACTCATCTCACACTCCAAAACCAAACACAAACACTCAATCAGAAAACAATCCATAAATAGCCCCGCTCGATCTCACCAAACACAAACTGTCACAAATCTGTACACACTCACATGAGCATTCTTGCTCAGTTTTAGGTATCTACCCACCCAACCCTGCAAACCCTACAACTATCCTGCATCTCTCATATCTCACGCTATTGAGACTACACCTATTTATAAGCTAGCACCACTAAGAAGCCTGATCAACTCTTAGAATTCTTTCCAAACAAGTCGTCTTTTGTCTGTCAAGAAAACTTGACCATACAGATATTTTTAACCAATAAAAGTATCTATCCAAATCTTTGTAGATTTGAATCACAATTTCTGACAATTAAGTGAACATGAAGAACAGAGTGATATTCTAAAATCCGAAGAAAGGATTTTTCCTTTACCCAAAAAGAAAAAACAAAAGAAAAAAGAATTAATTTTCAACATATGTATTTGTCATGTCAAGTGCACATGTCCCTTCCCAACTCTCATGTCTGCAGGTTAGATGTTATGTGGGTTGTGCTTGTGTAGCCGTCTAAGTGTCTCACTTTATTAGCAACCAAAGCACATTTATTTTGTCTCATTGATTGACCCAAAGTCCCCCCCAGTGCCCTCACTCCCAAGACTCGTTTCACGGGAGACTTTAAATTGTGTTAGTATTTAAACTGAAAAAGGTTGATGCAATTTGGCCTTGGTTTTCTTGCTTTATATGTAGACAGTCTAGACTGTAATCTAGGCTTAGCTCCATGCTAGATTATTATCATTTAACACATAATAATGTGATTAATTAAGTCAATTATAGAGAGAGGGTCACTTCATCACATGACTTAAAGCTAACTCCACCCAACCTCCCACCTTTATATTTTAAAAGAGAAGTAGGTAGTGTCACTTGGAATACATGGAGGGGTTTTGTTTTTGAGTCACACCCACATTGTTTGGGATTTGCTTAAAAGTGCTTTGAACATATCCATAAAAGGGATTTCAACTTGAAAACTAAGTCACATTCGGGGGTCATCTTTCTCTCCTTTTTGGATCCTTCCAAAAGTAATGGTTGCAAAAGGAAACAAAAGATGATTAGAAAGTTAATGGAGTTTGTAATATGATAGGATGGTGCCTCAAATAATCTTTTGTTTTTTAATATTGTTTCAATTGGTTAATTTTCCTTGATAAGCACAAACTAAGTGGGCCACACTTGTTGATTCGGGCGATCTTAAATGATAATATCGGCATCCCTTCAATCAACACCAAAGAAAAGCATGATTAAGCCTTGTTAAAAAGTGTTTTTTATATGAGGATGGTGGAAGCCATTGCAACAATGACAAATACCATACCACTGTTAAGAAGACAGTTGTTTATTAATCAACGGGATTGTGAATGTTTGATTGGACAAGTCTTTCACCACCCTTACTTAATTCTCCCCCCTCCCAAATATCAGATGTGGGCTCCATGCCACAAACACTTGCCCATGTGGTCCCAACATGCCCCAACGTGCGCGGGTCCTACCACGGTTTCCACCAATTGGATGCAACCTCACATGGCTTATCCCTCCATTAGTGGAGAAAACCTTGTGCCTATGTCTTGGCTACCTTCCTTGTTACGATTAAATGTATAACCATATTGGCATACACCTCCCAAATCGAATGCATTTCCCTCTCTTCTCATCTTCTACCCATCATGTGTTTCGACTTGTGCATATCTAAAGTACTTCCTTTGTTAGAGTTTGGATAATGGTTCCTATTCTGTTAGGTAATGTTGGAGAAACTGGGAACTTTCAGTTAGGGCTCGCTCATATACGGTTCCTACTCTCATTTGACATATGTCTTTGCGCAAAATAGTGAACAAGTCCTCAAGAAAATCAACATACATACTGTTTGGGAGTGCAATTCATTGAAAGCCCCAATGCCACTCTCTCAACACCATGTGTCCGTTGGGAAAAAATGCCTTGAATGAAAGACAATTCAAATATCAAGTGAAGCCAAGAACTAGTACAAACTTTACTTGGCCAACACTGGTCCCAACAACCCTATGTGAACTCTTTAACCTTTATGAGTATGACTACTCACATTTGTTTGTGGTCACTTCACAGCACAATATTTACTTTTTAAGTGAGACCAACTTCCTTGAGCCCCATAGTGGGTGATGGTGGCCCAACCTTGGGTCTTTTTTATGTGTATATATATATTTTTCCCCCTAACCTTCCAAGGAGTGAGAAGGAAAGACCCAAAGGGAAAAATCATTGGATCCACGTAATAAAGCAAAAAGGTAGTTAGGTTTAATAAAGGCATGTTTTTGTAAACTAATGGAGATCCCAATCCAAGTCCTGAATCTATGTGCATGAATAATTTCAGGTTTCCTATACATAACTCGATGTTGTAAATGGGGGACTTAAAATAAGTTTAGGTCCCCACATAAGTTAATGCATGAATGGGTCATTACAACCATCCCATCCTTCACCTGCTTATACGAATCCACAAGAAAATTGTCGTTCCTAAGGGAAATAAAGAATCTAAGGACATCCTCTTATGCAACAAGCCAGTCTTGATATAGGTATAGGATGATGGGTTTTTTTTTTTAATTTAAAGAAAGTAATTCAAACTCGATTATTTTTATGTAAAAGCTATACGTATCTATTATTAAATTAAATGTTTAGATGCGTATAAATTTATATGTAAATAAATTATGGAGACAAGTATAAAAAGAATGGGCACATGTTGACCCTAGTAATATTCATGATTAATTATCGGATCAAACGGTTGGAAAAGAAGATAAGCTTTGGAGCCAAAGGTGATGATGAGATGATGGGGGGGTTGATAAGTATATTTAATTGTATGAAAAAATGGGCAAAAAGTGAGAGAGGCGTTTGAATGGAACACACATGAGAAAGAGGAGACAAGGTGGGTCATATTTGGAGTTGTGACCAAGACTTGGTAAGAGCTTTTGAATAATAATACACACATTAATTATGCTCTTTTTTAAGTGGGGAAGAGAATAGAAAGAAACCCAAAACCCTCTCTCTCGTAGTTAGTAAGATTCCGAGAGATCTGAGGCAAAGAAAGAAAAGCATATAGAAATATAGGTTTCAACGTCAATCACGCAAACATCCTAAACAATTATTCATCATCTACACGTAAACATGGGGCCCCTTCCATAGTTGTAAACACCTGAACAATCGTCCGTTATCATCCATCCATCTACACTTACATAGACTTAGACATCCCGAAACCCAATACATACATGCCCTTTCAAGCAAGCTAACCAGACCTGAGCTTGCCATGTTGACTTTATTCACTGAACTGCCAATGCAACTCAACAAAGAAGGAAGAAAAAGAACACAAAAGTTTTATCGAATGTGAAACATGCGTATCCCTTGCTAGATATGCACGATGAAGGCGATGTGGACACTTGGCCTAAGGCCCTAAAGCTGTTCCAACTCGTGATCATTTTCTATATATTTTCTTCATTTCTTAGTGTTATTAATTACCTTAATCATTCAAACTGCAAATCTAAGAATCTTAAATAGCATTAGCCATATCTAAATCATAGGTTTCCTTTTTTTTTTTTTTTGCTGTAATTTTAGGATTAGAACTAATACTAAGAAGTGTCATGCTTGCATGGATACACATGCTTTGACTTTTTATAGAGAGAGAGAGAGAGAGATTGCGGGGTGGAGGGGGCAAGAGTGGTGGTGGGTGGCGGTGTCGGCTCCTGAGATTGAGCTGAACATAAGTGTGGAATAGAGAGAGAGACAGCAGCAAGGGCTAAAAATGGAAAGAAAAATAAAACAAAAGAACAGCAAGTGGTGAGAGAGAAATGGGAATTGGGCATTTTTTGGCACAGATATGTCAGGGAACACAGAGATGGGCATCACGGCGTCACATTGGAGATCGTTCCACTAACATGTCCATACAAAAAAAAGAAAGTCCCCCAGTTTTCCAACATGTGTCATCATGTCAAATGGAGTTCTTATTATTACAGTCAAATGTCATTTTGTTTGTTTGTTAGCAGTACCATTTTGTTAATTAAAAACCAATCTAGTTGTGAGACCATGCCACCACTCACAAGGCGCCATCGACCTAGCTAAGTCTAGCTGAACATCAGTCATCAGATTACCAGCTAGCTCGCTCTATGGAATTGCACGTGTCGAGTAAGCATTGTTTGGGACCTGCCATTAACCCAACCTTGTGCAATCAACTTTGTTGGCTTCTGATTTGCCATTTTCACTTAAAAACTTTCATCTACAGGAATTCAAAGCAAGTGGTCCAGATCAGTAGCCCTCCTGTCTGTTTTCTAACCTAATTGTATTATGTTCTCAAGAAAAAAGAAAGAAAGAAAGAAAGAAAACCTGCCCTCTGTCAATTGAACTTTTTGGTACCAATTTGTCAAATGCTCCTCATGTCCCTGAAACCCATATATATCAAACATTATGGACCAACTCAATCATTTTATTCTTATACTAGCTAAAAGACCCAAAAGAAAAAAGAAAATGAAAATCATATTCTAAAATTTTATATATGTGCAATCATGAATTATTTTATGGCAGCAGAGAAAAAGAGAATTTAGCTATAACCCGAGACAAAGTGCATCCCCTTGGGTCCCCAAGCGTTATTGGGTCGTGTTCCCATGTACTCTCTCTCTCTCTCTCTCTCTATCTCGTTCCCCTTGGGATATCCGAAATCTTTCTTTCCCTCTCTCTCTCTGTGTCTCTCTCTCTCTGATTTACTGTACACATTTTAGTAACCCTTTTTATTCTGTATATATACCCCCACACATGCAACTCTGCTCTTACATTGCATTACATACGCTTCTTCATTTCTCTTTCCTCATCTCTCTCTCTCTCGTTTCTTCTAGCATGGCAGAGCTAGAGTACCAAGCTAATACTAAAACCAACGGCGCCACTGCACGATTAAAGCTCTTCGGCTTCAGTGTCTCAGAAGACGACGATGTTTCAGACTCTAGCACCACCACCAAAGCTCCATCTTCAGGGTCACCAGAGCCAGGTGGATTCCCTGCTCCTGGTGACCGCAAATACGAGTGTCAGTATTGTTGCCGTGAGTTTGCCAACTCTCAAGCCTTAGGTGGTCACCAGAACGCTCATAAGAAGGAAAGGCAACAACTAAAGCGTGCTCAGCTTCAAGCCACTCGCAGCGCGGCCGTTTCAATTTCTAGAAATCCTATGATCTCTGCTTTTGCTCCTCCCCCGCATCTCTTAGCGTCAGCTACACCCGTTGTACTGCCAGCTGCGGCGGGGCCATCGTGGGTTTACTTGCCACGAGGAGGGCCACCACCTTTCCACGTCTCACATGGGTGTGTGATTCCGACTGGTGCAGGTGGCGGCGGCGGTGGTGGAGTGGGGAGGGGGCTAGGGGCCTTACCTTATGGCGGTGGGGTTGTGGGGGATTCGGGCTTAGTAGTTGGCCCGCAAGTGATGCAAAGTAGGGCCCACCATGGACGGGACGTAGATGGGCCCTCGTTGAGTAGGTTCTCAAAGGGAGACGGCGGGCCCAGTTTTGACGATGCACTGGGCTTGGATTTGCATCTTAGTCTTGCTCCAGCCGGGCCATGACTTGGGCTTTCGGTGTGGGGGAATCTTCTTTGTACATTTTCAACAAATTTATTTATTTATTTATTTTTCTACGAGGAAATTATTTGTTTCACTTGCACATACTTTTTTCCTTTATTTTCTTAACTTATAATTCAGTTAATTTTCCTCACCAATTCTCAATTTTTGTGTTAATATCTAACTTTAGAATCAAAAGTTTAGTGTATGTAATTTTTCTGTTTTTTCGGCACTATGACTTTTCTTTATGTATTAGCAAATTGAAAGTCGAAACCCCACAAGCGAGAAACGAGATCCTAGGTGAAAGGGGAGTGAAGAAGTGATGGAGGAATGACAACCCTATGGAAAAACTGGGACCTTTCATTACAATATGAAGTGAAATGTGATTTCATCTAATGAAACGCACTCTACTGCCTTGTTACTTGCCTGGTGGCTGTGGAAAGGTAGGATTCTTACACACTTTTGTCTCTTCATTTCTCATTACATGTCAAAACCTTTGACCAAAACTGAGGTTCAGATGTACTTGGAAGGCATTCGGTAGAGGTGGGGGAAAAGGGTACTGAAATATTGGACGGTTTATTACCAGGCAGCTGTTTCTGGTATTATTGGTCTGTTACCTTTCGGAAACCTTAATTTTCACCATCAGGAATGTCCCGAAAACAAAGTTAATTAGCCAGAATTCCTCCCCAATGTCCTGAGCAGCTGGCTTGATGCTGGAGATTATGACAATTGATGAAGCAGGCTCTCGGAGTTTTTTTGGAAATTCTAGTTTAATGCTTTGTTTTCCCTCGTGATCCCATAATTATGACCCTGTTGGTAGGCAATTGACGGATTGATATGCAGAACCAATCAGCATAAAAATCTTACTTTTCAGATTTAGATCAATCATGTTAAAAAAAAAACCACTCTGATAGCCTGTAACACAATGGTTTGCCAATAAGAAATAGAAATTGAGGTGGAGTCGAAGTTTGGATAATCAAACTGTGCTCTTTGCTTTTTATTTATTCAGAAACAGAAGTGGTCATTAGCTTCGGGATTCTCTTTTTTATGTAGAATTACGTAGCATATATCCAATAAATTAAGTGGGGTCGGAGACAATTCAAGCTGGATTGCAACTTGAAGCCAATTACTATCTTTTCAAACTTTTCGAGTCGAAATCTGATAGGCGATTCGTGCCCATGTCTTGAATCATCTCTAACAGGAAATCATTAACAGTAAGTTGTCAGTGTTAGTACAAACAAGACATGTCAAAGTGAAGAGAAAGTCTTCAAACCCAAAATTTGTCTTATCATGTTTAAAAAAGAGAAGGCATTGCTGTGATAACAGTGCATCCACCTGTATACACATGAATCATGCAGCTAGTTTCTGCTATTCAAGCTGTTGCTTTTATTCTTTCTGAAACTCTCCCTTTTCTCCTTTTCCAAAGGTGCAGTGTTTGTTTCTGTCCACTTAATTGCCATCTTTAACTTTTAGTTTTGACATTAGGGCATCATTATTACTCTTTACTTTGCCTACACACAACACTTTTACCAGATCCAGATTGGTTAGAAAAGAAGATTTTTCTAATTTCTTGATGCAAGGACAAAGTACCCTTGTGGTTTTTTTCTCTTGGAGGGTGAGATATTATTGCCGGAATTGTTGTGTTCTTCTAGTCCCAATAACTCCAACTAACCGTTTGATAGTTTGTTGGTGTTTCTTATGTTGTCACCCTCCCAAGTTGACTATAGGATGATGGAAAATGTGGACTGGGACCCAATACATGCAATCCTGCCCATATTTTGAAATCAGCAGCTTTGATTGGATGAGCTGCTGCGACCCTAGTTTGGAGTCAAAGAACACACTCTCTCATTGCCTGCAGGAATCACGAAGAAATTAATCTTAATGTCTTAAGATCTAATGGGTTGGTTGCTGTCCAACTCTTAATCATGAAATCCGAACCACTAGATCAGCTTGAGCCAGGAATAATGCATTTGGTTGAGAGAAAAAAATGGGCTTGTTAATGGCTGCCAGAAATATTGCGGTTCCCACAAATCAGCAACTAGAAGCTTTGTGGGGAAAAAGAAGCTTACGTGTAAGCACTTAACAAGATAATGTAGGGGAAAGAACCTAAATGCATCATTCTAGGGTTTGTCCACTAACTTGGAACAGAATAAAATGGTCAAAAGGGCAGGTGGCAGTGGCAACCCCCAAAGTCATACCTTTTTCGGTGCAAAGTGAAGTTCAGAATCTTAAAGCGTTCAACATGTATAGCTAGCCATAAGGTCGGTGTCAGGCCTTTCCTTGTATTTTAATTGCAACTTCCACAAGGAAGATTTAGCCAAGTGCGAACACACCAATTTTTCTGTCTTGAAGTTGATTCTCATCATAGGTTTTGGCATTACATCCATGTATTATTTGGAGAAAGTTTTCTTGGATTTAGGGTTGAAATGCCTAGATGAGCGCCGATAATTGGTTTGAAGAAGTTGATGGTAATGTGAATGGTGAAGGTATCGCAAGAGGGAAGCAGGGCTAGGAATCAGATTCCACGAGAAGAACAGAATTCTAATATCAAATTGGATTGTATGCTTTTGGTTTACCTTCCATCTTTCATCAGCTCAAGTTAAAGCTTTTGGTGGTATTTGGTTTGGGGAGAGAGAGAAGAAAGGTGGAAGAGCACAATCATAGGTTTGACAACTGGTGCACTTGAAAAAGTTTCTTCTTCTCGTAAGACCTTTTTGACATATGAGTACTACAAAATACGGCTCCTAGTGGTTGGTGAGGCCGAAACTGATGAGAAAATCAAACCTGTTCCCACATCCTAGCCTTGAACACAAAACCAGCTGCGGATTGGGCCCCAATATTTTGCTTCATCAATGCCACTGAAGCCGATGTCAACACCCACTTAAGTCTCTCTTTTTTGCTTTGTAATTGGTTTCTAGTGGGAGAGTCACCCTCCAATGAAGTTCAATCCGACTCCTTAAATTAATTGAAACCAAAGCGAGGGATTAAATGTCTATCAAATTCACTAGTCACCATGATCCAATCAAATTCACTAGTCACCATGATCCAATCAAATTTGATCACTAAAGTACTTCGCGTGTTCAACACTTTTGAGCATGATAACAAGCTCTCCCAGGGATGAGTTGGGACCAGGGAGCTTTGTTGTCAATGAGGCAGTCATTTCTGCTAAATGTTGTGCTTCTGCCAACTGGTTGGATCTTGATAGAGAAGATTACAAGATAAGCAATCAATTCAATTTTGTTCAGTTTGCTTTATTATTTTCAAACCACATTCCAAGATTAACCTCAAGATTGGGTGATCAAATTCATACTTTTTCACAGAAAACGACTTGGGACATTATGGTGGGCACGTCATGACCTTTTTTTTTTGTTTCACACAAATCAAATTTCTTGTTGGTGGGTGTGGCTAGTTGCTCCATTGCAAGGCAGTCTAATTATTTATTATTGATGCTTATATTGATTTCTTTCCTTTTCCTACAATAACCAGAAATTTGTGTAATCCAACATGCAAGGATATTGTATGCCTAAGAAATAATTCTATCAAAAGAAATCCAGGTAGTTCACCAAAAATTAATGGCATATCGGCAGTAATTAATATCTTTACAAGCTAACACATAAATTATAAAGCTGCCTTGGAAAGGTTGAGATACCAGGATATGCAGCCTCTCTACCGAGTCAAGTGAGCATACTTGATTGGATCAGCTTAATTTAACTTCATTTGCTTCATTTTCAACTCCTGAGAAAGCTAGAATGCTAATAAATTAGCCTTTTAGCTAAACATATGTCACAATATCTTATTTTTGAATGTATATATACCTGTGTGTGCACAAATGTGCATGTGTGTCTATGAGCTATCAAATTTGTTAGAATTAACATGCATACTAGGAATACTTGTTTAGGATTTTAAATTTGTAGACAGTTATTGTTACTTTTTTTTCTTTACACATGTTGTTAGTGGCTTTAGTTGTTAGTTTTAATTCCTTATCCAGTTATGGTTTTTCTTTATTGTACTTGAGCTTTAAGAAGCCAAGATATCCTAAATGAAGATACAACTCTATTAGCCTCTGTTTTGCTGATATTCTTATCCTAAGCCTTTTCTCAAATTTTATCCTTTTCTTTCTTAATTTGTTTAAATGGTATCAGAGCACCCAAAGATCTCAAAGAATCTATGAAACTTCTTTTGCTTTTCCTTTGACCTCCAAAACAAAGAAAAAAAAAGAAGCTTGAACCTCTGAAACCTAAGACCATTAAGAAAAACTCAATAGACCCCTCCAGCTTCAGTTCACCTTCACCACCTATTTTCACAAGTAAAAATTTTCTCATGTGGAGTGTTAAAAATGAAAGTTTACTTGAGAGCTTTTGATTTGTGAGAAATTGTAGAAACTAGGAGTGAGCCACTGGAGTTAAGAAGAGATCCCATTATTGCACAAATCATGCAAAAAATGTGAGGAAATGACTAAAGATACAAGTCTCGTATATACTTGGCAATTTCATATTTCATCTTTATTCACATAATAGCCTGTGAGACAGGTAAGGAGGCATGGGACAAGTTTAAAAAGCAATACTAGGGAAGTGCCCGTACACAACAAATGAAATGCTTAATTTATGGAGGGAGTTTGAGCTATTAAGGATGAAAGAAAAGGAATCGATAATGGATTACAGGGATAAGGTTATGAAGATGGTTAATTAGCTAAGGCTTTTCGGTGAAGAGTTGAATGAGATGAGAATAGTCAACAAAATATTTGTAAATCCTTCTCAAAAATTTAAGTTCAAGATCTCATCATTGGAAAACTCCAAAAATCTCTTAGCTCTTACTGTGACCAAGCTTGTCAATGCTTCCAAGCTCAAGAACATAGAAAAACCATGAGAATTGATGATAAGAGTAAAAATACTTGACTAATAAAGCAGAAAGAAATGTTAATGGTGGCAACAAAAAGAAAGAAATGGAGAAAAGAAAACCAAATGGAAGATACTATCCATGCCAACACTGCAAAAAACGAAATCATCTTGAGAAATATTGATGTTTTAGGTCGAATGTGAGATGTATAACTTGCAATCAACTTGGCCATCTTGAGATGGTCTGCAAGACCAAGGCAAACAACTAAGATGAAAAAGAAATGGTGGTTAAACACAAAGAGGAGACAAAAAGAGTTTTATTCATGGCCAAGAAATTTGAAGTTTCAAAGAAGGATGAAATATGGTTCATTAACAGTGCATGTTCGAATCACATCACTAGCAATGACAATATTTTTGCTAACCTCGACAAAGATTTCACATCTTAAGTTGAAATTGGCAATGAGGACTATCTTAAGTTTTATGGAAAAGGAACAATTGAAGTGGAAACTCCTAAGAGTATGAAGAAAGTTCCTCATCTTTTCATTCACCAAAAGTAAGTTATAACTTGCTAAGTGTTGGGTAGTTACTTGAAGAACATTATTCATTTATGTTTGAGGACAAGTTGTGCACTGTATTTGATCCCAGCAATAAGAAGTTTTTCTCTATTGCCATGAAGAATAAGTGTTTTCCTTTAGATGAGAAGGAAACACATCATCAAGCTTACAATGCATTGATCAAACTGAACAATGGCATAAAAGGCTTGGTCATGTGAACCATGATTCTTTGAAGCACATGGCATCATCAAATCTAGTTGAAAGTCTACCAAACATGATCAAGACAAAACTATTGTGTGATATACGTAAGTATGGGAAACAAACCAAAAAAGATTTTCGAAAGTAAAACACATGGAGAGTTGCTGACAAGTTGGAGTAAGTGCACTCATATTTAAGAGGTCCCATCTTTTAGCAATCATTCAACGGTAATAAGTACTATTTACCTTCATTGATGATAAATCTAGATTCAACTAGGTTTATTTTCTTAAGAAAAAGTCTAATGTGTTCAATTGCTTTATTAAGTGCAAAGTGCTTGTTGAAAATCAAGCTAGAAAATCAATTAAGGCACTTAAAACAGAAAA